GTGTGTGTGTGTGTGTGTGTGTGTGTGTGTGTGTGTGTGTGTGTGTGAGAGAGAGAGAGAGAGAGAAGGAGAGAGAAGAAAAAGAGTAAGCGAGAGCGGGAGAGCGAAATGCCACTTTTTTTTTAAATGGTCGTCCGCAAAAAAGTTGACTGATGGATTGAATTTTATTGAATTACATGCACGCGCACACATACATCTCTGTCAGGCATTTTGGATGTAATAATCTCAGTGGTATATTCTCCTTTCCTCTTCATCATTTTTTCTTCCTCCTCTTTTTGCTGTTGTTGTACTGTGCTTTGGCTCGTGTGTATGTCTATGTTTGCTGAAGCTCACGCCATTGAAATGGCAAGAGTTTCACATCGATGGACCAAGAAGACATGATATTAATCTTATTCTATGACGTTATCTGCAATCTGTATCCGTTCCCGTTACGCCCGAGCATTAGACGCTCCATTTGAGATGGGTTTAAATTTTAATTTGACTTTTTTGCTTGGTTCACCTGATTCGGTTGTGTGCATCGGGTGTCGATAACTGCTTAAATAAACCGCATGAAGAGACAGCTTTAGCACAATTCTTCACTCGCACAGTAAATAAATCAAAGCGGCAGTCGCTGCCATTGCCAACGTCGCCACCGTCATTACCAATTGGTTACAAATACCCATCGTATTTGGTAGCAATGAACATTTTATTGTATAAAAAAAAGTCGACTTTTCATCAAAATTGAACGGATTGATGGCGGTATGCGACGCACTAAGTTTCCCCGAATGAATGCAAAGAAATTGGCTCGATTGTTCTTAAAAAACATGAAACGCTAAAATCACATTGAGATTTTTCGGCTGACAAAAGAAGAAGAGGGGAAAAAATGGAACATATCCAATTTGGCCCAAAACGTCCCCCATAAAAATGGATCTCATATCAGTCGAACGGGCGACAAATTTCGAATGTAATCCACATTTGCTAGCAATGGCAGAAAAAAAGAAGATTGCTTTGCTGCGTTTACGATTTGTCAACGATTGGCTTTAACCAAATTGAAAACGAAGCGGAATCGTATGTGATTAATGTGCTTTTAATTGTATTTTTGTATCATGTCTCCAGCATTGAAGATGATTCCGATGGTAGGATTTCGGCTGTTGTTGTATTTTTTAGCACTACATGAAATGTAGAGCTACTAATCTGGTTTTTTTTCCTAGATACTTTTTGAGTGTTGAAACAAATTATGGTGAATTTGAATTTTATGCTCATATTTTTTATTTAATTCAAACCAAAGGCAGTATATTTCAAAAAAGAAATAAAACCAAGATATTGTAATTCATTTTTGAAATAACTGAGAATTTTTTTCTGTACTTTGTTGCAAATAATTATATTACTTCAAAGCTACTTTGATGAAATACATTTCATGTAGTGCGCCAAAAAATAGATTGTTGTAAAACAACAAAATAGAATAAGTAACTAAAAACTCAAGAACGCAGAGCGGAGCGAAGTGACTCTTCTCTCCCTCTCTCTCTATCTCTCTCTCTCTCTCTCTTTGCTATTTAGTGGCCCGAAACCAGTTGGAAATCTTCATTTCCCACTTTTGATTTCACATGTGCCACTTATAGAATTTATACTTCAACCTCAGCTGAATATGATGTGTATTTGGTACGTGATGCAAATACTTAAATAATAAAAACTCATCTCTTCGACGAGTTTCCGTGCAGTTTCTCTTTTTTCGTGTATGTATTTTTATTCTGTCTTGATATTCTATTCTAGTCCTTCTTTATGCTTTTTTATTTATTTTTTTTTATTTGACTTTCGTTTCGACGTACTTTGAACAAAAAAAACCGAATGAGTCTCCACTGAAATTACATCAAAACGAAAAACTTTCCTTCCGCCATATGAATTTGAAATGGTGAAAATAGAAAAGATAAAAATCCTTTAAAAAAATATTTTACGTCACTTTGTTTGGATTGGTTGGTGCCAGTCGTGCCTGTGCGTCGTTGTCGTTAACATAACATTGTACGTGGTCCGTGTTATGCGACGACAACGGAATCTGTCAAATAAAGCATGTGCATCAAACTAAACGGCTTGGCTGAGGCGGCTGGATTTAAATGTGAGTTTTATCATCCAAAAACCGAGAGAGAGAGAGAGAGAGAGAGAGAGAGAGAGAGAGAGAGAGAGAGAGAGAGAGA